CGGTGCTCCACGACGGCTGAGCTCGGTGGCAACCACACCGGTTTAGAGGATGTGAGGTTGTAAATGTTCTCAAACCGTCAGCAGCAACATGGCAACAAATGGCCAGGTTCTGAAGTGTCGACAAAACAACAGTTTCCTCCCGAAGTTTTCGCCCGGGTGGAAGGATCTGCATTTTGGAATATAGCGATTCACTACACTCGGACCAAATTTGCCTCTGCAGTGTAAATGTACATTGACTACTTTCTGATTGCGGATAATGTAAATTTTGTATTGTAGCTAGTATATAGTTTAAAACTATCCTTTGACTAGATTTAAAATGCATATGGGTGATATAGTAAACATGTAGTTTAACTATAGTAATCTGTTGAAAAACTACAAATTTTCTGTAGTTTTACAACAGTTGGACTCTAGTTTTTTCGCGGGTTGCACAGTTTTACTGCAGTTTGGCGGGTTAGTTTCGAACTACACTTCGAACAACAGTTGGGAAGTACAAACAAAACCTACAGTTGGTCTCACACTTAAAGTGCAGTGTTCAAAACTTTCGAAAAATTTTTGTGCCGGGAAATTCTTCTACTCCTACCTTTCTACCTTCCCCCGCTAACCCCCTCTCATCCGATTAATTGATTACAGCACTCTTACCTTGTTGAAAGATGAAGATGATGGGAGTTGAACCTCTGACCTCGGAGTTGGTAGCCCAGTACGATGACCACTGAGCCACTGCGACACCATACCTCTGGTCTCGCAGTAACCCAATGGCATGCTAAGCGTTCCGGTCCGACAACTCACAGTCGAACTACAGTCGAACTACAGTCCAGCTACAGTTATGCTACATTTAATCCACTGGTTGCGTAGTTCCTATGCTGCCTAAGATTTACAACCGAATAAATCGCCTCCTGCTAAGTTCACAGGACAAAAGCAGTGTAGTTCACGTGCAAAACGTGCACACCGGCCATTAAACGCATGTATACGTATTCTGCGCGTAATATCTTTATGTAGAAGTATTTTACCACGAGCCAGGGAGGCGTCAAAAGGCATCGTGAGCACGTCCGGCAGTGTGGGAAACTCGTACTCACCCTCCTAAGTAGGTAGCTAGGCCTGGTTTGGGGTATTTCCTTTCGCCGCATTCGGCCCCCCATAATAAAAGAGACAGCAGTAGTTCTGCAAACTGACCGCACAAATGTACTGTAACAGCCGAGAGCAGTCATAACAATTTTTTTTAACTATATATTTTTTGCATATGGAATGTAACAGGGACTGAATTCACGAAGTACAATTAAAAGAGCGAATCATATTGTCAATTTATCTGCTTTAAAACTACAGCAACAACTCAATGTACCACTTACATTCCGGGGTGCATTCTCAAGTGTAGTTGCGAGAGCAGTAAAAGTGTGTTTTATTTATATTTCTTACTGTTATTTGAGCATATATGTAGTCGTGATTATAACCAGCATTGCAGTTAAAATACAAACATAACTATAGTTTCGCAACTATAGTTAGGCAAGTACAGTTTCGAATGCAGTTTTTCTGTACTCCTTTCCACCCGGGCGATTTGTTAAAGCATTGTACGCTTACATTTTTTTGTGACTTAACATACGGATGTAACTGTACGGAGGCAAAGATATGATTGCAAGAAAAAATAAACATCAAGGGGTTAATAGTATGCTTTGCTTTCTATTATTTTGTCATTCTGTATAAAGAATATTCATCTTGATTCCTCAAAACCTGAAATTTGCCTCGCCACCAGAACTGGTTTATCGCATATATTGTGTAGTTATATATACTTTTGAAGGGAAACAGTGTGCTGCATCGATGCAGGCAGCGAGGCAAGACCTCGGGCGCTCAGTGGAGACAACGTCCAACCCCTCCCTCCCCCTCTCCCCAGGGGACCCCCCTCTCCCCCTCCCCACCGCAGAGTTGGGGAGTTAGAAGGGGGTTGCTCTGTACCGCAACAGTCGTAAGTCGCACTGCCGCCCCTACTTTCTCTTTTCGAAGCTCTCTCTCTTCTCCCTGTATCTCTCACCTGCCCCACCCCGTTTTCTCCCCTCTGCGCTCCCACTTGACTCCGCCACGCCACGCTATATCGCCAGCTTCCGAGGAGAAATCAATGTCAGCGCGTCATGCAAAACACTGATGGGCGGGTTGGGGCTGTTCCCCTGTGGAACTACGACTGGAGTTGTCGTTTTGTCGTCATCGTTTCCATAACACACAGAAACCATTCAATTTTTTCCGAACTTCTTACTGCGTGGCACAATTTAAAAACGCTCGCGTGTTCTTTTCTTTTCACTAACTTATCATGTTAATTTCAGGGCAGCGTTAAAAAATGTTTGTAGGCCCCGTCGCAGCACTGGAAACGCAAGTGTGTGAATGTCGCACACTTGTAGGAGTGTGAATATCCATTCGTACACTTACGAGGCAAGGAGTAAACGTGTGAATTTTTCCTAGAAAATTTACACCTTTACACGCTTACACGTGTGCGACATTCACACACTTGCGTTTCCAGTGAGGTTACGGGACAATTTTTCCTGATGTGTCGTAAAATTACAATTTGGAATTTGTAAATTCACAAGCACTCTCATTGAACGGCAAGCAATAATTGGCTATTAAACACTCTCTTAAATTCTTACAAAGAAAATTCTTTTACTACAAGGAATTTCGTCCAACCGTAATAAAAAGCCTTTTTTTTTTTGTAATACAAAGAAAAATTATTGTAATACAAAGAACTTTTGTGTAATACAAGGAAATTACCTGTATATTACGGTTGCACAGAATTTTTTGCATTATACGAACAAATTCTTTGTAAAAGATTTAGAGTGCATTTACAAAATATTTTGTAAGTTATAAATTGAAACAAATCATGCAAAATTATGAGGATTTTTTGCCGTGTGTGTGTGTGACAGTGAGGCGGCCGTTCAGCAAACGGCCCGGTTGATCTTGTAAAGTAAGAACATCTCGACTTTCCCTGAAGCCTCAAAAGAAAAGCGATTGTGAATTATTATGAAGAATAGGCTAAATACACAAATGCTCCCCTCCATCCCCTCTCCCCCCAAAAAAACAAAATAAATCAAATGATTTCGAATTTTAAAACCCCATCTAAAAGTTTTGATTTTTCTACGAGACAGTTTGCCGGTAGCTTTTCCGCGTTTCGGGAGGTTCTTCCTGAAAGTACACCTGAGCCTTGGGGGTGGTGTCTTGTCACCTGCAGAGCCCCTGCTCTACAGCTTTGAGCCACCTGGTCAGGCAGGCTCGGTTTTATTACCCGTTGAGCCGAGGGAGAAGGGGGAGAGGTTTTAATTAAGGTCGCATCTCTCTCTCCTCCAGACACAAACACTATTTCACCATCTCTCTCACTCCCTCTCTTTATTGTGACACTTCCTCATTTTTCTTTAACTTGCTCTATGCTTTAGGGAGATCCGCCCTTCGCCCTCCTAGCATGACGCCTCATCCTTTAATACACCAAACCATAAAACTGCCATTGCTGTTCTTTCACAGTAACATATATATCCTGCGTCCACTCTTTTTTTTAACACGCGTGTTTTTAAACCCCGCCTTAAATTTCTCTACTTCAGGATATCGTATTGTGCATTGAACGGGTTATTTCTTTTGCTTCGCCCTTCCGCGCAAGCTTATAGGGGTTGGTGGCTCAGGAGCTACTCTCAGAGTACCCCCCCCTCCCCTCCCCGTCTCCTTTTCCAAGCTAGCGTGTTCAAAACGACAGTCACGTTTCGCAGAAATCTCTGCGAGGACAATAGCGCGACAGGGAGTTGTTGAAATTATTACTCGAATGGGGCAGAGCAGCTTTGCGGCGCTACTCCCCGTCAGGGTAGAGTGGGAAATTCATTCCGCCTTCAGTCCATTAGCGTTGGCTAATCCAACCACAATCAATCAATTTTTAATTTAAGTATCCTATTCATAACTCGTTTTATCTCTATCAGTTTAAGAGAGATATTAACACATACAATTCCAAAAACAATGTTAAGTTTGTGCATGTTCTGTCCCGCCCTGCTCAGAACAAAAAAAGGCTTGTTTTTTCTTTTTTAATTGTGTTCTAAACACAAGGGCCAAGAAAGAATATACTTTCATTCCAAGCGCCACACGCACGGGGTAGCGCGCTACTGGAGTAGAGCTGGGAGGTAAGGGACTGGAGGCACCGCCACCCTCAGCGTGGCGTTGCGGCGGCGATACTCCTCGCGGCGCTACCCCATCCCCCGCTAACCCACCCCCCGCCAGGTGGCGCCACCAGTGCGTTGCCCAGCGCGATAGCCTCGCCACCCCCAGCGCAGACATGGCGGGAGGGGCGCGGCGGGGCTGGATGCACGCGGCCGCACGCGAATCGATCGGGGGCGGGGCGGGCGGGTCGTGGGTGGGGCGGGGTGGGGTGGGCCAGCTGGTGGGTGGCGGCGCGTGGAGTGGAGTGCAGGAGGCAGGGCGGCCCGTGGGGCGACCGGCCCGGGCGCACGGTCCTAAGCCTGCCTGGTTCTGCCCAATGTGTTGCTACCCGCCCCTGCGGCCATAGCCATGGATACTGCTGGGACTCAGTAGACCGGAGGCCCGCCCGATGGACAGGATGCACTCTTTGGGTACCCGCTACTGCGCTTGATAGTGGTTTGGGCACATTGGACTCACAAACATCTCTATATATTTTCAGCGGTTTGAACACATTCGTCCCGCAAACATCTCTATCCATGTTTAGCGATTTGAGCACATTGGAACCTCAAAGATCCATATCTACAATAATGCTCAGCGATTTGAGTACATTATTTGGACACACAATCATTCCTATCTGTATTGTTCATAATTGTCGTGCACACGATGTAAACTACTGCGGACTTGTACACACTTGCTCCCTCAGATTCATCGTAAAACAACATAGGTATTTTCAGGATTTAAACATGGTGACATTTACCTCTTTCACATTGTGCTTCTTCTTGTACTCACAAAATTTGCTGTCTCACATCAAATTGCACAATCGTTATTTGATTTTGTTTCTCTCCTCTTTTCAGTTGGCGGAGCTGGAGCAGCGCGTCGTGGATGCGGAGGGACGCGCAGTGGAGGCGGAGGACAAGGTAAGTTCACTCATGTTTTTTAATTTATTTTTTTGAATTTTTTGGTTGGGGGGAGGGGGGGAGGACACTTTTGCGGACGGTTGGCGCTTCCAACTAACTGGGCTCCCCCGGGCCCGCCTCGGGTCCAACAACCGGGCCAATGCTAATCTGTATCGAGTGCCGGTCACACTCATTAGTGGAGGGTGGGCGAGCCGTGGGGTCCCTGGGGCCGCAAGGTGGTCCAAACACACGCCGAGGACAACAGGACCACCTTCAGCCTGGGCCTGAATTACTACTGTGGCCGCACTGGAGTAGGGGTCGTGTGAGTGCAGGAATGACCCTCCTACCATCCCCCTCGCCACCCTCTCTCTGTCTGCCATACCGTCGTGCCAAAAGTTTGGCCCCATGAACTGAAAGTTGGACCTCAAACTGTCTCGCCTCCCCCTCCCTTCCATCAGCCGGTTTCCAAACTTTATACTTTCTGCCGTCAGTGCGCCGGGCGGGACGCAGGACTCGCGACGTGCAAATACCTCGCTGCCCTTTTGCATTTGTCTCCCCTGGAAAGTTCGCATCAACTCCTTTAGTTACCACAGCGCCGCGCACCGCCAGGCGCCTTGCCACAAGGATCGAGTTTCTTGCCCAGTCGTTGCATTTTTTAAATGAGTTTCCCGAAGGCAAGCTGACCCCCCTCGGGACGGGCAGAGTGAGGGGGGTGGGGGGACCCCCGGGAAGGAAGAGAAAAGTGTCGGTCAGGCTGACTGAGAGAGAAGAGAGCGAGAGAGAGACTAGGGGGAAGGGGAAGGGCACGTTTGGGGGATTCCTGCGTGTCCAGTGGGTTTGCGCAATGTTCCAGAACACACAGGTCACCTGGGAACACTCCGCTGCGACCTCACGTCGCAGGCTGCGGCCGAGGTCGAGCCGGCCGGACCCGGCTGGGCTGCCTGGCTCACTGGAGCTGCAACCACCCTGGAGCCCCCTCCCCTTTCAGCCTCCAGGGGCGTTGAGCCTAATCCAGTAGACGTAGATCGAGAGCTTTTTTTTTCTCTTTACGGAATAATTATCCCCCAAAAAAAGGAGATTTGCAAGAGTGGTCGTGGTGAAGAAAGCGGCTTTAACCTCAATCAAAATCCTATTCCTTTACCGGATTTTTAAAAAAATTGATTCCACTACCTTGTTTTACATAAACTCACAGTTTGTTATGAAACAATAGTTGTTTTTAGTGATTACCAAAATCTTGTTTTAAGTCGAACTCAAAACATTTGGCTCTGAGTTACAATTTTAAACGTTACTTAACATTTGATTGGGTTGGGCAAAAACCACCTCGTGATTGTACACGCTCAAGCCTTTGATTATTATTTGTTTTTCACGACTAATTTTTTCATGTAACAATAATACGGTGAATTTGTTATGTTACTAGTATATATTATCAGTAGCATCGGCAGTTAGTCCTTTTAAATCAGAAAGAAAACAAAATTTCGTGATTTTAAAGGAGATTTTCCTTATTGCTCACAAGATTTGTTAGGTAGTTACTGCAGAACAAAGAATACCGTCGTTAACTTCAATGTCAGGAGTGGGCTGAGAGCTCGGCTGAGAGTAGAGTGTGACATCAATTTTATTTTTCCCACAGCTAATTGTTTACTGTGTGCCAGTCTTACTTGCTGCGCTCTTTGTTCTGGCTCCTCGCGGCTCCTGTTCATTGGCCGCTGAGCCCCGTCCCCAGTGGGGCCGCACCCCCGTAACAACCGCTTTAAAAGGAACAAGGTACTTTGCTCGCCGCGCGTCGCCTTGTCCCGATATTGCTTCTTTCGTTGGGGGAATAGAAGGGTTCCTGCACGAGAAGGCAGGGTGGAGAGAGAGGGAGAGAGAGGGAGAGAGAGAGAGGAAGAGAACGGGGGGATCCGGAAAGAGAGGGGGTAGGGGTTGTGTGGAGGTGAGATGAAGACAAAAAGGGGTGGAAAGGAGCAGACAGACGACGGGTGGAGCCTCACCAAGGTGTACCTCGCGGGCCGATAAAACGTCGTCGCCGAATAACGCACCGAGAGCGTGACGAGAAGGGGAGGGGTTTGGGGTGAGGCGGGGCGGGGCGGAGCGACTTCTGCTGGAGGTTATTGACGATCGGGGGATACAGTCGTGCAGAGCCCCGTCGTTATTTGGGAGAACTTCAGCGTGGCTGGTGCCGCGGCTGCCACGGCTATGTGTCGTGGCTTTCCCCCCGTGTGTGTTTCTGCGCTCCTTTTTATTTCACCTGAATCCTAAAATGAATTTCGGCAAAACACAATTACGTTACGATGCACTCTATTTGGTCCATAAACTAGGAATTCGTATATAATTTCGTATATATTTCTG